AAGTAAAATTTTCATGTGTAATTGATTAATATGAAATATTTTCAAAAAATTATGGAAATTTACTATTTTATGGTTTGAATAACATGGAATTTTATCATTAAAATGTATTACTCAGTGTTTGGTGTGCAAGAATGGAATGTCCATACCATTCCTTTGTTTGATAAGTAATTTAAAGTGGGAATGCCGTTGAATGAAAATGTAATATTTATGACATGTCTTATATATATATAATGTTAATTGAATAAAACATTTTGTAAAATTGGTGGGACCCACTCCTATTATTTACTACCACATGTGACAAAGGTTTATATAGACCCATTTTTTTGTTTTCCAATCAGCGTTCTCTCTCTCTCTTAGCCAGTGTTCTCTCCCTCACTGCTTTGGTTTCTTTTTCTTTTCTTTTACAACTTCAACTCCTAATTACTTCCTCATCTTTTGGAAATTTTGGATGCCATTTACGGCAAATTGAAGCCCACGACAAGATCTTCAAATCCATACCAGCAATTTCAGCTTTTGGCCACTCTAGGAAGTCCGAAAATTGAGACCCATTTTGAGGGTTTGCGGTGAAAATTGGGGGTTTTGCTTAAAAGTGAGGTAAGGGTCTCTAATCCATATATTCTTGTGCTTTAGTGAGTAAAATTATTGTTATTTGTTGCTTATTATGCTAGATTGAGTTGATTTTGTTTTAAGGTGACTAAACCTTGAAATTTGAGTATATAGATATGTGTTAAATTTATGTTTTGTGTGAAAATCATGTTCTATGTGTTATTTTCCCTAGCCGATAATGTTGTTAACTTGCTAAAATTGTTGTATGAAAGCATGTTATGTATTCTTAGAAGGTGTAATGTGAGATTAAAATTTTAATTTGTTGTAGAATGATGAATTACATAGCATGAAACATTCATGCATAGCATTGGGAAGAAAAAGGGAACAAATTGCTTTGAAATGAAAAAAAGAAATTATGGGAAAGAAGTTTTGATTAAAGTATTTTATGAAAACCCAGTCGCCGCGAGGGTACCAAAGTGCCGGAGTGTTAATATAGCCTAGAGGGAATTAGGGAGATTGCTCTAGCGTGGTTGAGCTAACTGGGCCCAAAATAACGCCGCGGGGTTACCAAGGGTTAGGGACACTAACCAATCCTTCTCTCGTGTCGCTGCGAGGTCACCAAAGGGCAGGTTATATTAACAGTTTGAAAGTGATGGTTTTGAATGTTGAAAATGAGGAGTGACATCGGCATACATTGCATTCCATAGCGTCATATTGTTTATGTTAAGATTGGTTATTATGTTGTGCTTTCCCGACATGGCATGACCCCGCCCCTTATTGTTCTATTCTTTGTTTGGATTCACGAGAACACAAGAGGTGTGTCTTAGGCACCGCCTACTGAGCAAATTGCTCACCCTATTATTTAACATTTTTTTTCAGGGAACGGGAAAGAAGTGACGGATGACATTCTACCACAAACTTAGTATGGATTAAGAGCTTATTTTGTTGTTTTTGTACTTGGGTCTTACTATTTTTGTAAGACTAAGCATAATGTATTTTGTACGACGACTTATAGACTCTCATTATAATTATACCAATGGGCTGTAACTTTTATATAAGCTGTCTAAATGTTGTAAAGCATGGACATTTGATATTAATCTTATATTTTGGGACTGTAATTATGATATTTGGATGATATAGTATGTGGTTGTTCTACCATAGAATGTATTATATGTTTATTATGTTGGGACAGGTTAAAAATGCATTTAAACAGGTTGTTGTAGGACGATTTTTAGCAGAGGTCATGCTGAAATTTTTTTTATTTTTTTATTTTGGCATCATTTAGGGTCGTTACAAAAAATTCATTTCTGAGAATGAAAATCCATTTCACAACTAAACTTATGGAATAGTCATTCAATTCCCTAATAATTTTTTTTTTTAAAATCAACTTCCTAAAATACCTTCATTCTCCATGTCCAAAAACCACCACCACCGTTGTCATCATCACCACTGCCTTCCACCACCACCACTATCACAACCATCTATGCCTTTTACCACTACCACCTCCATTGCCTTCTACCATTGTCACTGCTACTGCCACCATTGTTGCTGCCTACAACTGACACACCGTCCTCCACTGCTTTCCACCACCACCACCTCTATCCATTGCCATCACCACCACTAACTTCTACCATTACCACCACTACCACCTTCAACCACCACCACACTCTAACCATTACTTCCACTACAGTCACCACCATTGCCACATTCCACCACCTCTGCCACCTTCCACCATTGCAACCACCATCACCATTATCGCCACATTCCACCACCACCTCCACTAGACCACTGCCTTCCACTACCACTATTGCTAACTCCATCGCTACCGCCATTACCACCTCCACTGCCTTCCGCCATTGCTAACGACTTTCACTACTACTACCGCCACCGCCACCACCTTCTACCGCCACCACCGCCACCACCTTCTACCGCCACCACCGCTATCACCTTCCACCACCACCACCGACCGCTACCGCCTTTCCCCATTGCCACCTTCCACCATTAATACCGCCACCGACTTTCACCACCACCTCCGTCACCTCCATTGGATGACCTTATCAAATGACTATTTTACCCTTTTTGGGTCTTCAACCACCAAATTTGTGTTAAAAGGACCATTTTGCCCCTATTGGGCCTCAAAGTATTAATTAAATGAGAAATGATCATAATACCCTTGCATGACCTCGAGTTAAAGTAAGGACTCGATCAGCGATTCGGATCAAGCGGACTTGGGTCGTTACAATGAACATTCCATTCCATTTCCATTTGCATTCCATTCCATTCCCATTTGCATTCCATTCTATTTCCATTTGCATTCCATTTCATTCCTGTAAACCAAACACAACATTAAGTTCATAGAACTTTCTCAAGAATCTCGAGCGCGTGTGTTTTATATAGAAATATTTTATGGGAAAGTTAGTTAGTTATGAAAAATAATTTCCCTCAAAATATTAAAATTTTGAATTTTTTTCTTTTATTGCTATTTCCTTTTAATACATGTCTAATAAAATATAGTATATATACTTTGTAAAAATAGATAAAGGTGTTGATGAAATAGTTGGTTAATCGTGAAGGGAAATAAAAACTAGATAAGGTTAATATTTCCTAAAATTTATTATTTTGACAATCAATTTATCATTATTATATGTATCATATGCAACAAGAAACAAATTAATTGAAAATTGGGAATTGTTTTATGCTTCTTCTTTTTTTCATAAACAAATTTATATTAGAAAAAAAAAAATTATAGGAGACTATAAGAAATAAAAAAAAATTTAAGAAAAGGAATTCTATGTTTTGTTTAATAGGAAGGAATGAAGAGATATGAAATAAAATAGGAGTGAAGAAAAAAGCTTCATTTGTTTGGTAGAGATGATATAAGGAAATAAATGATAATAAGAGGGAATAAGGAATGTGTCATCATTCACTGTTTACAAATTTTCATCTGTCCAAAGATGGGTGGAAGACAGAGGGAAGAAACATGGACTATCATAGAAGTTCTAAATTAAATACTATCCTCTATAAATTACAATATGATAGATATCACTTAATATAATGATAAAAATAATTTAAAACTTTTATCTTTCCTTCTCTCTCCTAATGAACATAATAAATTATAAGCTTAATTCTTCTTTATCATCAATCAAGAAAAAAATAAAAAAATAAATAAATAAATCACCTTCTCGTTTCTAAGGATTTCTCGTCCATCCCTTATTCTCCTCTCCCTTCAATCTATTTTTATTTTCTTTTTCTTTTTATTTCCTACTAAATGGAGCAGAAGTATCATTGCCTGAGATTGAAAAATAGTGGATCTATTTACCACATCATGCTACTATTAACCATATATATCTCACCTTATTGGTTAAACAGATAACAAAATTAACAATATTCATATAAAAAATAACAAGAAAAGAAGGAAAATGAAAAATTTTATTTGCAGGAATTTTTACCTTTTTTTTTTTAAAGAAAAATAATTTTTCAAGCACTGAATAATAATTTTCAGTTCTAAATTCAAGCCGTGGGTAACTAAAATTTTTAAATTCTAAATTCAAAATTCAGGTTGGGAATTTGATCCTCTAATCGCAAACATAATAATATTTTTCTATACAAAAATAAAAGAAATTTTTTTATTTTTTTATACAACAGTGAAAAATGAAACAAAGGCCACATGTCACATTTCGACGCGAGTTTTTATGAACAGCAGAGGTGGGTCCACTAGGCTCAGTACTCAGTGGACTAAAACCCTGCAAATTTGTAAATGAGAGAGAGCGGTAGGACATTCCTTTCCTCTCCTTTGCTTCCCTCAAACAGCAATTACGACTAGGATTTTGTTTTGTTTATTAATTCATCTGTGTGTTGTGGGTTTCAATTGCAAGTCCAAGCAGCGACCTATTGGCGTTACTGAGAGGAGTAGGGTTTCAACTTTTTTTTTTTTAGTTAAAGAGTAGGGTTTCAACTTCAACACTAGATATTGCTTCAAATCTAGGGTTTACGCGGAGGGTTTTGTTTGTTTATTAATTCATAATCTCTGTGGTGTGGGTTTTCAACTTCAAATTCAACCATCGACCGATTGGCATTAATGAGAGGAGTAGATTCGAAGAAGAAAATGTCAGACTACTTGCCATTCCTACCTGGAGATGTGCTGAGCGACATCTTTACTAGTCTACCCCTTAAAACCCTAGTCCGATGCACCTCTGTGTGGAAATCATGGTGCTCTCTCCTCACAAACCCTATTTTCATCACCAAACACCTCAATCTCAATCGATCTCGACCCAACAACAACAACAACAACGATTTTCTACTGATTCGAAGCTATTCTGATTTTTATGACGGCGATGATAAAGAGACTTAATCACTACGTTTCGATGATAACGAAACATTCTTGGAGTATGCACAGCTTGACTTTTCATTGAAGAGCTATTGCAACCATTATTTTCGGATAATCGGTAGCTGCAATGGCCTCATTTGCCTCTCAGACGATCGGTTCATGTATATCAATGATCTCTTTCTTTGGAATCCTACCATTCGAAAGGTTTTGCCCCTTCCACGGGTTCGTGTCACCTTCGATTCGCACGGTCCATTCAGTGCCAACATTGGCTTTGTGTTCGATTCAAGCACTGATGATTACAAGGTTGTCCGAATTGCGAATTGTGCATTTTGATTATGTTCACAAGCCACAGGAGATTGACATTTTCAGTCTCAGCACCGGGACTTGGCGCAACATCAGTCATGTGGCGCTTCCAGATATCAACATCAATGAGAGGGCTCACCAGGCTTTTCTCAATGGGGCTGCACACTGGGTTGCTTCCAAATTGCGTAGTTATGGCGGGAGCTTCTTGATCGTGTCCTTCCACATGGATCATGAAAAATTTAGTCAAATTATACTTCCTCATAACATCATGGCTCATGACAGTGGATTAGGATCAATGCTGATGTCAAGTGCTCTTTATTTTGGCGTTGCTAAGTTTCAGGAATCACTCGCTGTCATCCACTTTACTGGTCCAGAAGACAATACTTGTTGCATTTGGGTGATGAAAAAGTATGGTGTAAGGGAGTCTTGGACTAAGCAATTCTATTTTGATATGACTGGAACATTTAATACCCTTGCTGGATTCTCAAGGAAAGGCGAACTTCTACTGGCAACTAGTGATGGGTACCTGGTAGCTCATGATCCCGAAGCTGGACGAACAACCCATCTTTTAATTCGGGGGACTACACATGAAACATATATATACTCATTTTATGCAGATGCTTACACGGAGAGCCTAGTTTTACTTGGAAAGAGATTTTGTGATACAGGCACTTCTGAAGAATCATCACCTGGGGCTGTTGAAGGGAGGTGTGCAGCTGAGGAAATCAAGAACAGGCAAGATGCACCATGTCACTTATTTTTACATTCTATGCTATTTGTTAAATTCTTTATTGCTTCTTATGAATGTCGTCATTACCTTAGCATGTAGCATAAACTTAAAACTTAAAAGTTTTATGGTCAATTACTGTTTCATTTTAGTAGCTTTATAGGAGTAATAATTATTTTAGAGGGTAAAGTGCAATAAACCCCCCTCAACTATCCCCCAATTGCAAGAAACTTCGCAAAGTACAAGTTGCCCCCTGCAACTATTGAATTGTTGCAATTAAGGACAGATATGACATTTCCGGTCAGCTGCGGAGAACGGAATTAGTTAAAGACGCTTTTACCCCCTATATAGCACCATGCCGTTTCACAATTGTTTCAATAGTTGTAAACTTAGGTGGATGACGTGTATAGTGTAATTTCAAGAATAAATCATATTACGACAACTGGCTGAACCGCATGGTAAAAACCACATTTCACATAATTGGTTAACCATATATTTATATATATATAGTCATGTTCATATTCCCACACCAGAAAATTCAGAGTAGGGAAACAAACACAGCATTACAAATTCAGAGTGAGAGAGAAGAGGAAGAAGAATACCCATATCGTCTCTTGGCAAATTCAGAGTATGATTTTCAACCAATTTGTGTCATCACTTTGTCGCAACAGTCCAATTTTGATTCAATTTTTTTTGGGGAAACAAGGTTTGGAACTCAGCCGATTCGAAGACCAGTACTACTGGTGTTGACATCCATCCATTCTATCAATATTTATTTTGGATTATTATTTTCGCTACAACCACAACCACAACCACTTTCAAGAAATCCCCTACAATCCCTGTATCAACAATGTTTTAAGCCAACAACAATCTAAAACTAATCTTCATGTATCTCAGAAACCAATCTTTCTCAAATGGTCCCTGGTCTCGAATCTAAAACTAGAGGTAAGTTAATTTCTCTTCGATGGAGCTCATTCTCTGCCAAAAAAAACACCAACAAAATCAGTGTTTATTTGTGTTTGTATATCACACACAGAGAGATAGAGGCACACCCCTTCGCAAAATGGAACGATTTAACGATATATATATATATATATATATATATATATATATGCATATATCTAGGCAGATATAGTTAGATGATAGAGAGATAGAGAGAAATAGAGTGAGTTAGGGATGCAAACCCAATCACAAAACCCCAAGAATATATAGTCGCCGATCACCAATCAAACCCAATCGCAAACTCAAAATTCTCAGCCCATCATCTTCAAATCCATATAACAGATTTTTCACCGAAACCACTGTCGCTGCAACAGCCACGTCGGAGAGTCTCATCATCGAAATACCCATTCTCATAGCCATCGCCATCACTGATTGGTTGAGACTGTCGCCGTCAGAATCTGTCACTGTCATATTCCTCGGCAAGTCGTTGCCGTGGTCGTCGAATCTGCAAGGTCTCGCTGCTGCGTGTATGACTGTTTATGTAACTATGTTTAGGTTTCACTGGTCTCAAACAGGGGGGATTGTTTGGTGATGGAAATAGAATTAGGGCATGTTTGGCTGGGGTTTGGGTTTAACAGTAATAAGAAGTGTGGTATTTTAGTTTCATAAGGTCTGTATTGTCATTTAAATAAAATTTGGCTTTCGCTTAACACACACGCGGTTGTTAACGTTCCAAATTCAACTGGCCATTTGTCATACTGGGTTAATTGCAACGAAAGTGGTTAGTTCAGGGGGTTTTATGCAACTTTTGTAGATTAGGGGGGTTTCTTGCTTAAAGGGGCATAGTTGAGGGGGGTTTATTGCACTTTATCCTTCTTTTAGATCTTGATATCTTATTATGTCTGATGTGCAAGGAATGCTGTCTTTCAGGTTTGTGACGGGGTGGAAAATGAAAATGAGGAAATAAGTGAAGATGGAGAACTGTAAGAAGAGTAGAGCTGTAGAAGTTGCATAGTGAACTCTTCCCTTGCTTTTACTTGGTCTTACTTTGCTTACAATATTTAAAAATATATCGATGTAGTTAAAAACTTTCTTTGTGGAAGATTTAAGTCACGCATGATACTTATGAACTCTTGGAGCATTTGGGCTTGATATGCCTTGTGGATATTATGCTGAAAATATTTTGAATTGTTCATTATTACTTATCTTTTGATGCCATTATATATTTCTAGATTTTGTTTTGCGGTATGAGCTACCTTATGTTATATGAATTAAGTTGTCAAGAGCAGCTTCTGTAGGTTGAGTTGCTGGGTTTTGAGCCAAGCATTGAGAAGTCACTAGTTGGCGATGCTTTGTATGAAATCATAGATAGTTTTCCCTTTGGCTCGGATATGGCGCACCCAAGGTTATGGTCAGCTTGTTTCACTTGCTAGCAAATCTCGTGTTCAAACTTTGGTAAGGAATATCTTGCTCATCAACATGTTTGTAAGCTTAATGGGTCAAGCAAGGTTTGTTCAAGTTTGGTTCACTTACTTAACGAGCTTTAAAATGTTAACTAAATTATACTTGCACTTCGATAACTAACATGGGCAGAACTCTCAAGAACTTCAACCTGAGCTGTTCGTAAATTGCTTGTTTCTTTTTCACCTCTAAGGTTAAAGGACCAGTTCCATGTGCCACTGGATAATAGGATTAGCACCTCTAATTGGTGAAAAGACTATTCACCCCTTCTAACCGTAGCTCTAGTTTTTACTTTGCTCTCATACCCTATTGGAAGGCAAAACTTTATAGGATATAGCTCATATAGGAAGTTGCATAATAAATCTAATAATTCTAGTCAACCGAAAAAGAAGCTGACAGTTATATAAATGATCCATGTAAGGTCACACAGTCTTAAGTTGGTTCTTCTCTAGGGCAGGGTATCAGGCTTGGTTGTTTGCCAACTTATCCAAGTAGTGACATTTACTAATTTGTCTGTGCAGGTCCTCTTTTCTAGTGAATATCCTCTGTTTGCTTATACAAATTCGTTTTGAGTACAAAAATAAAGAACAATTAGTTTCCATATCCATCTGAAGCCCACTTCTAGAACTGTTCATAGCCTTTGTGCTCTAAATATTCTGATTTGAGCTCGAAAAATGTGATGCATTTGGTGTAAAGTGAAAACACTAATTTAATTAATCAGCTAAATATCTTTCATTGCTAGATGCAATATAAGTTTCTTTTTTCATGCTTCCTTCCTTTCTAGTTCTTCTACTTTATTTTTTTTTTGCCCTTTTGGTGCGTCAAAGACATTATTTATGTCCTGTAATTTGAGTTAATAATATCTTTGATGTGCTTCTTGATGGTATTCTCAGGTAGTAGACCTTGTTTGCTTTGTACACTTATTCAATTCATAGTTGCTTCAAGCTTGATGGTATTCATAAATCTATGTTACCCATCTCTGAGTCACAATTTCTAGTTTCTAGGACAAGGTTAACACAGTACACCTCCCAGGGCTATAAAATTCTATATACTGTTTTCCCTTCTTTCTTGTAGTCCTTTTATCTGCATGTGGCAAATTCTTTTCACACGGGTGAAACGTGGCTTACAATGTAAAAATCGACGAGAACTGTTGAGACTCATGAAATGTGGTGTTTTACTAATCACCTTAACTCCGCTTAAAATGTATTTTGTAAGCAAATTAGTTAGTTGAGGTTCTATTTAGCTGCTCTACTGTTTTGGAGCAAAGTGGTGATATCAACCAAGCAGAAAACAGTATCTAATTTAGCATTAATTTCTGTCAATAGATGCTGCTGATTTGCCTGTTCTGTGTGAAATTATATCTCCTCAGAAATTTGATATTTTTCCGAATTTCCCGAAGTGCTTGTGGAATATAGTTGTTGTGATCGAATACTTAAACCTGTTTGATGTTTAGGGAATCCCTATCTTGATTGATAGATAAGCTTATCATGTTGAGGCATGCTCATGCGGACTTCATATTTTGCTGTAAACCTCTTTTTCAGAGAATATGCTTCTAAAGTTGGTGGTGGTAACTTGTCCCCAGTTATGTATGTGAAGGGACGTTTTCAGTTGTAGGAAATTTGGCTTATATATATTTTTTTAAATTCATCCATCGCCGATGCTACATTGCTTCAGAATCTTCAGGTTTTCACTGTGCAGTTGGAGTATTTTGGTTGCTTTATCTCTCCATCTCACACACACACACACACACACACACACACACACACAAACACAAACACAAACACATACATAATGGGGATGAAATTATAGGACAATTTTGAAGACTGATGCGTGTGAGAGTTGCACCAGGGGAGTCCATTTGAGAGAAAAATAGTGGATGAAATTATAGGACAATTCTGAAGGAAAAATAAGGTAAATTCCACTTACGATCTTTGAGGTTTGCCAATTTTTCACATAGCCTTTACAAATCATCATCTCTTTTATCTTTTCTATTAGTGACGGCTATCCAACTCGATAACGATAGCGTGTTATTTTTATCATTTTGCATATGAATTGTATAAGATTAAAGATGTCATTTCAGGCATTGGATTGGCAAAATTGACCTTTTTATTCATTTTCATAATCTCAATTACCTCTTATGGTGTGAGGTAAGTGAAATTATGGAACTTGTAAATGATCTATGTGAAATATTGACAAACTTTAGAAAAAATAAGTAAAATTTTCTCCCAAAAAAAAAAAAAAATTACTAAAAGATTAATGTTATACTTGTTACTTTTAGTTGTTGTTTTTCAAATTCCATGACTCTAATTCTTTCAAATCGAACACACCTATAGAATATTTATTATTTACTATTTTGTATATAATAATGCTATTATTATTGTTCCCCTTGACGACGAATAACATATTCAAAAACTTATTTTGCTCCTAGATCTGTATCATTAAATTATTGTATATAGTGATGCTATTGCCAAGTCATTGTTAAGAGGAAAACTCAGTAGGAATATATATGATATCACCCACTAATGTAAAACGGACGTATAAACAACGGACATATAAACAAGAATTTATTTATTTTAGTGACTCTTATAGTTGTGCCTGTTTTTATTCGGCGTCTTCTAAGTCTGTTTGGTAATCACAATTAAGCAATGTTTTTACTTTTAAAGTGTGTTTAACACTATTTAGAAATTTGTTTGGTAACACAAATTTGTTACAAAATTTTTAAAAATAAAAACATAAAAGTATCATAAAAACATGTTTGGTAAAAAGTGTTGTAAGTTTAAAAATTTGAATGGCCAGTTAAAAATGTTTTTATTTTTTAATTTATTTTTCTTTTTATGAACAGTGCTTTGTGCTTTGTTACCGTACGGAAGCGAATAAAAGCACCATTTTAATACTTTCGATTTTAACATTAATTTTGGAAGTGCCAAAAAAAAAAAAAGCAAAAGCACTCGCCAAAATGTACACATTTTATCAAAATGAAAAAATAATAATAATCACATAGCAAATATTATTTGTGTGTTCTAAGATACAGTTGGATGCGGCTCTCAGTATTTGTACATGTCAATATACGGAGTACTTCAGAAAGAGGCCTGAGAAAGTGGTACCTTTCCTTTCCCTTGCTTCAAACAGCAAATCTAGGGTTTAGTGTCAACTTCATCGACCCATTGCCTTGAATAAGAAAATGTTAGACTCCTTCCTATTCCTACCTGGAGATTTACTGATCGATATCCTTGCTAAACTACCCATCAAAACAATAGTTCGATGCACCTCTGTCTGCAAATCATGGTATTCTCTCCTCACAAACTCTATTTTCATCGCCGAACACCTCAATTTCAATCGATCCAACAACAACCACCTCCTACTACTTCGAAGCTACTCTGATTCTGATGATCAAGAGCATTATTCACTACATGACGACGATAACGTAATGTTCTCCAAGTATGCAGAGCTTGATTTCCCATTGAAGAAGAACAAATTCGATCATTATTTTCGGTTAATCGGTAGCTGCAATGGCCTCATATGCCTCTCAAACGACCAGTTCGGTTATCATCTCTTCCTCTGGAACCCTTCCATTCGAAAGATGATGATTCTTCCACCAGTTCGTGTCACCTTTCAATCACACGCTCCACATATGTGCAGCATTGGCTTTGGATTTGGATTTGATTCCATCACCGGTGATTACAAGGTCGTCCGGATGGTGCATTTTGATCAATTCAACAAGCCACCGGAGATTCACATTTTCAATCTCTGCACAGGCACTTGGCGCAACATCAGTCATGTGGCGCTTCCGCATATCATCATCAATGAGCGGGCTCCCCAGGCTTTTCTAAAAGGGGCTGCGCATTGGATTGCTTCGGAATCACGAAGCTATGGCCGCAGCGGCTTCTTGATCGTGTCCTTCCACATGGGTGATGAGAAATTTGGTCAAATTATGCTGCCTCATAACATCATGGCTCATGCCAATCACTTCAATCACTTGCTGATGCAGAGTGCTCTGTATTTTCGTGTTGCTAAGTTGCAGGAATCACTCGCCCTCATCCACCTTACTGGTTCTCGAGACAATACTTGTTGCATATGGAGGATGGAAGAGTACGGCGTAGCGGAGTCTTGGACTAAACTATTCAGTATTGATATGACTGGATCCAATAGTGTAGTTGGCTTCACAAGGGAAGGTCAAATTCTAGTGGCAAGGAGGGATGGGTACCTGGTGGCATATGATCCCGAAGCTGATGATTCCAATCTTGTAATTCACGGGTCTAAACATTCAACTTATAGGCACTCATTTTACGCAGAGGCTTACACGGAGAGCCTAGTTTTACTTGAAAAGAGATTTTGTGTACAGCCACTTGTGAGGAAATCACCTGGGGCTGAGGCTGGGGTTGTTGAAGGGAGGAGTGGAGCTAAGAAATCAAGAACAGGCAAGATGCACAGTGTCACTTATTTTTACATTTTATATTTGCTATTTGCTAATCTCTGTTGTCGTTTCTTATGAAAGTTAAACCATTTTTTAGTATCTCATCATTACCTTAGCAATTAGCAAAAACTTAAAAAGTTTTATGGTCAATTACTGTTTCATTTTAGTATCTTTGTGGAGAGTAATAATTATTTTAGATCTTGATATCTTATTGTGTGTGATGTGCAAGGAATGTTGTCTTTCAGGTTTGTGACGGGTGGAAACTGAAAATGAGGAAACAAGTGAAGATGGGGAGCTGCAAAAACAGTAGAACTGTAGAAGTTGCATAGTGAACTCTTCCCCTGCTTTTAGTTAGTTTTACAATGCTTACAATATAAAAACTGTATATCCATGTAGTTAAACACTATCTTTGTTGAAGATTTAATTCACTCGTGATGCTTTTGAACTCCTGGAGCATTTGGGCTTGATTTCTACTTTATTTGGGGAAGATTTTAGTCACTTATGATACTTTAGAACTCTTGGAGCATTTGGGCTTGATATGCCTCATAGATGTTAATCATATTATGCTGAGAATATTTTCAATTATCCATTATTGCTTAATCATGTGCCACTGGCCCATCGCATAATAGGATTAGCACCTCTAATTGGTGAAAAGACTATCCTCTAAATATCTGACATGATACTAAATTAATTAACTTGAATGATATTTCAAGAGTTGCGCTATTCACCCCTTATTATTGGGCTGTTCCTTCAAGAGCTGTGCCATGCTCTAGTTCTTACTTTACTGTTATGCCCTTTTGGAAGACAAAACTGTATAAGATCTTACCTTATATAGGAAGTTGCATAATAAAGCTGATAAATTTAGTCAACCAGAAAAGAAGCTGGCAGTTATAGATGGTGGATCTAAGGTCACGTAGTCTTAAGTTGGTTCTCTTCTCTAGATAATTGTTTTAAATTAATGAAAATATTTTATTCTTAGGGTGGGGAGTCATGCTTGGTTGGTTTTCCTACTTATCCAAGTAGTGACATCTACAAATCTGGTAGTGCGGGTCCTCTTTTCTTGTGGATATCCTCTGTTGGCTTGATACAAATTCATGTTGCCTACACAAATAAACAAAAATTAGTTTCCATGTCCATGTGAAGCCCACCTCTAGAACTGATCATAGCCTTTGTGCTCTATATACTCTGATTTGAGCTCGAAAAATGTGATGCATTTGATGAAAACACTAATTAATCAGCTAAATATCATTCATGCTAGATGCAATATAAGTTTTCTTTTTTCCTGCTTCCTTTTTTTTTTTTTTTTGGTTGGCCTAGACCTTGTTTGCTCCACACTCACTTTAATTGATAGTCAAACGCACATTACTTCAAGATTGATGGTAGTAATAAATGTATGTTGACTATTTCTGAGTCATAATTTCTCTAGTTTATAGGACAAGGTTCACACACTGCACCTCCCAAGGTTGCTAGCTTGCAAAGGCATTCCACTAGTGTAGATAACCCTGCGCATCAATTTCGTCTATTGTTGATTCATGAATTCTATATATTGTTTTCTCTTCTTTCTTGCTGTCTTTAGTATCTACATGTTGTAAGTTCTTTTCACACTAATGAAATTTGTCTTACAAATGTAAAAAATGATGAGATCTGTTGAGACTCGTGAAATGTGGCTCAGGTTGGATGACATTGATCGAGGAAGAATTCAAAGGAATTCTTTATATATATAATATATATATTTCCGTTTTACAAACCACCTTAAGGCTGCTTAAAATGTATTTTGTAAGCAAATTAGCTACTTAAGGTTCTATTTGGCTACTCTGTTTTGATGAGAAATAGTTGGCATTTTGCCTGTTGATTGTTTCTATTGGAGTCAGATGAGATCATGAGACCCATCCTTCAACAAGCTCTCTTTTGAATCATATGGAGAATGGAAATTGCAAGAATCAACACTACTCCTGACTTTGTTTTTTAGCAGCTTTATCAACATTTTTGTTGTTCTTGTTATTTTACTTCCATTTCATTATCTTCAGAGGTGTTATGTTGATCATTTGCCACCATTCAGACCCATATGGAATAATACCAATTTGTTCAATGCCCGTCTGATTGGAGTCAAGCCGAGCAATGCACAACCAATGTCAATTAGTTGTCCAAGTAGTCGTCTATCTACAACACCTTCTATTCCTTTGCCTCCTACGGATCATATTGCTCATAAATCAGATAATTACCCATTTATGAAGGCTTTGAGAATCATAGAGAACAATTGGGGGGAGGTATATTCATGTTCATGACCTTCCTCCGAGGTTCAATTTGGATATGCTTAATGAATGTAAGAGTCTTAGTTGTTGGTTGAACATGTGTGAATTTACTACTAATGCTTGGCTTGGTCGCCACTGAAGAATGTAAAACGTGTGTTCTCCCATATCGGTTGGTATGCCATGAATCAATTTGCCACCACGAATAATTTGCCGCCACGAATAAATTTGCCGTCAATGTGATCTTTAGGAACAGAATGAAGCAATATGACTGCTTGATGCGTGTTTCTTCTCTAGCTGCTTCCTTTTTTGTACCTTTTTATGCGGGGTCTGCTATTGCTCGGTATCTTGAGGGATGCCGCATCTCTTGATTTGGTCAATTGGCTTATGAAGAGGCCTTGGTGGAGCATCATGGGTGGAAAATATCATGTTGTTTGTTGCCGGTAGGATAACAAGGGATTTTAGAAGACCAAGTGATGAATAATCAGACTGGGGTAGCAAGCTTCTGTTCTTACCGGCTGCAAAAAATATGTCTGTGCTAGTGGAATTAAGCCCTTGGAATGCAAATGATTGCGCTATTCCTTCTCCCTCTTATTTCCATCCAGCAAATGATGCTGATGTGCTTGTTTGGCAGGATCGTATGAGAAAACTGAAGCGCAAGTGGCTCTTCTCCTTTGCTGGTGCTCCACGTCCTGACGACCCCAAGTCGATCAGAGGGCAGATTATTGATCAGTGCAAGAAGTCCAGGGTAGGCAAACACTTGGAATGTGATTCTGGGGAATCTGGAGAAAGTGTCATTCACCTAGCAGTATAATGCAGATGTTTGAAAGCTGTCTTTTCTGCCTGCAACCTCAAGGTGATTCCTACACTTGAAGATCTGCTTTTGATTCGTACATATACGATATCTATATATATAATGAGTTTGCATTAGGTTTCAGTGATGCCTTATGCTTGCAGACTAGAGCTTAAATCAAGAGATGTGCTGCGACTTAGAGGTGGAATGTGGGTATGAACTCTTACTTGGGGCCTCCTTCTTATGATATCATTTCAGTAGTTAAAATCTATCCTGTCCTTTGCCTGCTTCAAACTGTTTTGAATTGAAATAACATAATTATAGCATTGCAGAAGAAAAGTAAATTATTGGAACATTCTTTGAATGGAAATTGCCATTGGACAAAAGAAATAAATATTTGATAAATAACGTAGAGTCAATTGAATATGAAATTCATGTTTTGTGGGTGGTGCTAGATGATTTGGAAAGATTACACACTTTTCTATTTATAGAATTTTTCATAAACTTATTCTCCTAATTATTTGCTTCAAAACCTTCTCTTCCTTGATTTTCTTCCCTTTTGTATTTCAAATTAGTTCAATCTCAGTGTGCTTTGCCTTAGATATCTCTGTTCCCAGTTTCCTTAGCCGAGTACCTTCTTTGTCATCTGCTAATTCCCTCAACCTGGTCAGCTTTAGTTGCTAGAAAGTTGCTAATTTTTAGCAACTTCTTTTCATAATTCTGGCAGTCGTCTTATTCCCTAAATAGCCCAAACTCTAATACACATAAAAGCCACTTGTCTCATTTAGATTTGTCCACATCGTTCTTGACACGGCTGCCATCCTCTATTATCTCTCCTTCTCTTTTCCAGTTAAATCCCTAGGGATTTAGTTGTTTCACGTTAGCTAAATCTCTTAGTCTTTCCTTCCCATTTAACAACCCATTTGAATTAAGTCAAATATTAGTTGTTATATTTCAGTAACAACCTTGTAGATGAGGTGACTGAGTATTTCTCCTAAATTCTCTCCTAATATTTTTCAACTGGCTTCTCTTGAAAACCATATTGAACACTTGTCGGCTCCTCACTGGTCCACGTCATCACTGAGGTGGCTGCCAAGTTTTGGTGCCAACACCATGTCTGGTGTTAGTGAAAAGCAAATCGATAGTTATTCAAATTAACAAATACAAAGTAAAACAGATAAATAAAAAAGCAGCTTAGAACAACTTCAACAATACTATAAATAATAGTAGTAGTAGACTGTGTAAAGGATTTAGCACCTTCAGAATCCTTAGCATAATTAAATTTTCTTTAGTGGACTTTGAAGTGTCAGATTTTGACTCTCTGTATCTACTAATTTAACTTTTAACACTTTTTGCCTTGAAAAAAAAAAAAAAAAATGTCTAATTCAACTTGGTTAGAGTCTTTATTTATTTACCTTTTGCAATCACTTTCTTTCAATTTCAACTTGTTTACAATTTCAATCCACATTTCCTTGCAATTCTTTTGATTTAATGTGATGACCCTGTGGGTGGGTGTGCTGTGAGCGGGTGCGAGGTACTAACAGGCTATCACACTGGCGAGTTACTGGTGCACAATCCTATATCGCCTAGGAAAGGGAAAAGTGAAGTGCTTATATGTTGGTGTGTCACTCCAATTGGTATGAGGCCTTTTAGGGTAAAGCGCAAGAGCAAAACCGTGTAGGCTCAGGCTCAAAACGGACAATATCATATGATGTGGTGAAGTGGGTCATTACAAATAGTATCAAAGCCTGACCCAGTTGGAAGTGCGCCGACGGGGACGTCGGGCCTCCAAGGGGGGTGGATTGTGATGACCCTGTGGGCGGGTGTGCCGTGGGCGAGTGCGAGACACTGACAGGCTACCACACTGGCGAGTTACGGATGCACAATCCCACATCGCCTGGGTAAGGGAAAGGTGAAGTGCTTATATGTAGGTGTGTCACTCCAATTGGTATGAAGTCTTTTGAGGTAAAGTCCAAGAGCAAAACCGTGCGGGCTCAGGCCCAAAGCGGACAATATCAAACCATGTGGTGGAGTGGGTAGTTACATTTAAAATCCCTTCTAGTTAAGCCAATTATAATCTTACAAGAAAGTTTCATGTTCTCTCAATTTATAATTGTCTGGTATACTATTTTTAAAAAAAATACTAAGTTCGATCATTCTTACACAATTTCGAACGAAACTTTTGGTTATAGAGTGTTAATCATTTTCTAAATTCTGCGGATTTATTGGTCAACGCTTTGTGCACCTTCCAAGAAATTTCCAAGTCTTTAGAAGACAATATTGTTTGTGAACTGACTTAAAGTGGTTGACTTGATGAAGGACTCTTCTCATAACAGACGTGATATGTGGACCATGTCTTAAATGCAATATAAATAAATATAATCCTGGGGTTTAAAAATTTCAAGGGAAGAATTTTCTATTGAGTGAAGAAAATAAATAAAAAATAGAAATATGAAAAGAAAAGCATTACAGAGAAAGAAAAAATAAATAAAATACATAAATATGAGTATTATATATAGAAATGAAGGATATAATATAAATAAGAGAGAAATAATAGAAATATGAGTATTATATGTATATATAATATGTGTATTATATATAAATTATTTATAGAAAGAAAATTAATTAATACAAATAAGAAAAAAAACGTAGAGAAAGAATATATATATATATATATATATATATATATATATATATATATATAAATATATGAGTATTATATTTAGAAATGAGGGATAAAATATAAATAGGAGAGAGAAATATGAATATAATGAGTAATATATATACAAAATAGGAGACAATTACAAAATATAAAAATTATTTTTATGTTTCCAATAAACCCCCTTATATTTTCAAAAGTGTGCAAAAAACCCCCTGTGCTTTCAAAGGGGTATTTTGGGTAGTGCAAAAGGGTAATTTTGGTATTAAAGGCCAATTTTTGGTCACATGCACAGCACATGCCAATTTTCTTGGTCAGAAGCCCTTATTTGCACTATTTTGAAACTACAGGGGTGGCTTTTGAAAGAACAGGGGTGTTATTTGCACTTTTTTGAAAGAACAGGTGTGTTTTTTGCACTTACCCCCTTTGTTTATCCATTTGGTCCTTGTATTATTTTCTTACTTAAAATTGAACAAAATGAACTTGCCTTTCACACATGAAAAGGGTGGGCCCGTGTGATACCCTCGGATTTCCGAATGCGGGTTGGCTAGCCCACCCCCGAACACTCGGAGATATAAAAAACAAATCAGTAATAAACGA